CGATACGATAAAAAATAATAATAAAAAAAATGACTTCGTGACATAAATGTTGATAAATTTTGAGGTGTGTCGTTTCTGTAGGAAATAATTGTTGTAAACTCTCAGGTGAGTCTCAGGTAATGGGAATGATCAACTGGTTTAAAAAATTCCCTTCCCTTTTTTTCCCCTGGCAAGTCTTGTGCGATATTTTGGGATGAATTGAGTAAATAGAAGTGGACGTTTGCTCTGCACTGACGCAGGGGACAAAGCAGCTCAAAAGATCAAGGTGTTTCATAATGGAGGCCTGGAGGCACCAGAGGGGAGAGCTAGCAGACGGAAAAAGTGACTGAAGTGAATGGCACTGTGTATTTGTATAATACCCCTATTATGCGTTATTATTGTAGATATACGTGGTTGAGCATCGGAAGTCAAGGGACAAATGGTGAATGCCGAGGGGAAAAGACGCCTATACAGTTGACCTGTGCCGACTAATTTGACGTCTGAGCTTCTAGTATTGTCCCTGGATATGATTTTTCCTACACGCTCCAGAGATCATGTCGCTTAAATGTCACTCCTGACCATTTTGGGGGCTTTTATCTTCACACGATTCAGGATTTCTCGAAGGTAACGGCTACCGAAATATTTTCTCAATGCCCTTTTGACTTTTTCAGCGGAATTAGTCGGCGGTGCCTCCACAGGATTATCTTTTCAAAAAAGCGTGTAACGTTTTTTTTTTTGCGGTGCACTGAGAAAAAAAATTTTCTTTAGCCAAGAATATTTACTAACCACAAGAAAATATATTTGATATTAGTAAGGTTTATGGGAGTATTTACACAGTGATCGCCAGATTTATACGCATGTTTAAAGGTTGATTAAATTTTCAATTAAATTTCGGGAAATATTTGTAAATGGAAATTGAATTATTTTTTTGGTGGAAATCGCCCAAAAAAATTGACATTTTCCTCAGGGAGTTTTTACTCTTATTTCCGGGAAAAATTCCCTGAATTTTTCCAAATCAGTCAACGAATTCTTACCATTACTATAATTACATGAAATTCCCAAAATTTTTGCCCAGTAAAAATTCAAAAAATCGAAATATCCCTATAAATTTCATCGGAAAATCCAAAAAAAAAGAAATAACTGTGCAGCCTCACCCCTGCATTGATCACAAGCGACTACTCTGCCAGATAATTCTCATTTTTTGTATCATCGAGCAATATCTCCCATAATTTCTTCTTATCTCGATAAACTGGCAAATAGAAAAATGTATAAGCGGCAAGGAGTCAGACTGCTGAATAAAAAAAAAGAATGTTGAATGGGAGGAGAAAAAAAAGTGGTCGGGATCGATGAGGGCGAGACGCAAGTATCGCCAGCTTGAAGAGATTAGTCGCATCTGCTGTGGCGCCCAGAATAAAAACACACATTCAATCGATGTTACATATACAGAACGTATTGTTGACAAACGTGTGATCGAATATGCGAACGATGGAAAATATCAACCACAATAATGATGTCAGATTTCTGCGCACGTACGTAACCCATCGATCTCTCACTAGTTATTATTTAAGCCACAACGTGACGTCATTAATATCTCGTTAGGAACATTGCAACCAAGGAACAATGACTGGGCCACTGTCACAATGATGCATCGGATTTCTCATCATTTCTTTATTTAACTCAACAAAGACTTCGTTTTTAATATTTTTTTTTATAAATATTTTCCCACACTGCAGAGCAGAAATCCTCAACCGATTTCTCATACCCCAATTTTCATCAGACACATCAACATAAAATATAAAATAATTATAATTATAATGGGAATTGCACATGTTAATATTATTGATAGGGAATTATTATTGAATTTTGCGGGGATCATTATTGCATTTTTTTTTGTTGGAGTTTTCTTAATTGAAAAAAATCAGATGACAATTAATGGAGTAGGAGAAAAATTTTAATTAGGAATTCTAGTGCTTGATGTAGTGGACATTTCTGAGTTTATGCGCCAGTAATTTAACCAGAAAAAATGTTGAATTTTCCTCGAGGATTTCTCGCCGTGTAATTTCCGGAAAATTCGGAGGTGAACAAAGCGGCTTTCCCCAGAAAACTGTCGGAAAATTCGTTGTTTGACATTTGAGAAGGTGAGAATTGAGTTCAACTAGCGTAAAATTGGAAGGCAGTGGCAATACAGATCTGACGTTTGAGGCAAGTGACAGCTGCGGGGAACTCCGCTGCTCTTTTTTCCATCCTCTCCACCTTTTTTTCTCGCACTTTTTTCCCTTCTCCGGGGTCCAATCGAGTGAACGTGTGCATTGAAGCGTTATATGAGTCCCATTGACTCGAGTCAATGCTTGGGGTACACTGTGACAGGGCACGGGTGCGAGAAGACCCCATCCCCGGGACTCTTTTTCGGAATTGGAACCGATTACCCTGTCCTCTAGAAATTCACGTACGGAGTCAATAACCGTGCAAATTTCAACATTAAACAGCGACAATCTATGACCTCGAGAGATTGATGTCTATTTTCCCCATTAATTAAAAAAAAGACACTGATAAAAAAATTATTTTTTATAAAAATCTAAAATCGCTTGAAATCAATATTTATATTCGAGTAATATGCAGTTTTTAAAATCTATAATTGGAGTTGAATTAATTTGAAAAGAGATTTAAACATTTGAATTTTTTATTTTTATTAACAATTCTTCATTGACGAATTATTTCGATTTTCAAGTTGACCTGAAAATTCAAGTGTTGAATGAAAAATCGAAGAAATAAAATTTTTTTCAAGATTAATAATAAATCTAATGATTCAATTATCCAATTAAAAATTCATTCAAAGTCCTGCAATCAAGATTTCGAATTCCCGGAATAAATTGATATAAAAATGGATAGATCGTGAATTATGATGAATCTCGGAGTGACTGATGCGTAAAATAATGACAAATAATCCGAAAACAACAATTGTATCGTCAAAACCTGGGAAAGTCCCCCCCTCGCAGGGTGAAAAAAAAAAAGATGAAAATTAACACGTACAACCGGGGGGAGAATTTGGGTTTGAGCGACTGCCACGACGTGAATTATCCACGGATGACTAACTGCATACCTAATCCATTAAGTAATAATGGTTCTCGCATCAAAAGTTGAATCGACGTGACTCCAGGGGTCCGGGTGTTGCCCGTTTCTCATTGAATTGCCGAATAACGTATCACAGAAAACCCAGAAACTACCCCTCACCCCGTCGACAAATTCTTTACCTGCCAACTAGTCGTTAATAAAATTTGATGTTGCGGAAAATTAGGTCTCAATTACCCCGAGGCCTCATTATTGTTCATCTCTACCCCTCAAACTTCCACAACGGAATTGCCGTCTTTCTTTCGAGGATATAAAACGTAATAAGTGAAAGATCAACAAGGGATGAATTACATCCCTCATACCCTCCCTCCCCTAACGACACGCTTCTATTTCTGTTACTGAATTCAATCGGAAATTATGGACAAATGGAATCTAATATGCAATCCAATTGTCACTCGATTCGTCCCATTTGCACACGTAATTACCCCCCAACAATTGATTTATTGAATTAAAACATATGTTGAGTTAAAAAATTCATTTTTATCTGAATAATATTTTTATAATATCTAAAAAAATATTCTTCAACAACCCAAATTGTTAAGAATATCAATAATCACGGAGAAATTACTGGGATTAACAAAAAATAATATCAAAACGATTTATATAATATAATAAATAAATGTATGACGTATGCATGAAGTAATGAAAAAGAATTTGTCAGAAGGACAGAATCCATCAGATCTAGATCCTCATCATCAATGACACCCTCCACCCCGGGTGTACCACGACCCCAGGAAATCACCTCATCGAAAAAAAATTCAGCTCTATCTCCCACCCCTTCGAATTTATCCATAACACGGTAAGTAGATACCGACTAGCCGTGTCCAGGCCGTTAGAATCACTTTACCCTCTCGGATTCCGCCAAAAGTAGTAAACCCCTGGTTGGAGTGTGCGCACAGAATTCTCCTTGCCTAGAAGAGGTCCGAGAGTTACCCATTTACCTCACCCCCATCACCGGTTACTGGTAGTGGTGGGTGTACGGTAGCGTCTCTTGTTTTATTCAGTCGGGATCATAAATTACGAGTTTAAACACACAATGAAAGACGCTTAACAAGAAGCTAACGCGAGATTGAGAGGACACGCCCAATGTGAAGCGAATTGAGAACTTCCGGTGTAGCGGGATATTCCCCACCAATGGGATAGCGGGGTTAGCCACGCCTACTGGGGTGTATGGGCACCCCAACACATTGAGAATCCCCATCAAATGGACCAGAGTCCGATAGAAAGAGAGGGATATCATCATTCTCCCCGTTTTACCCAGCATCAGGATGGGTTAACACTGGTAACGCCTACTCCTACTCCAGTTGAACCAAGTGAGACAGATCGTGCTCTAGTCTTGGTCCTTGGTTGGCAGAAGGAAATACCAGAAGGTGGGGAGAAAACAGACTCACTCAACTAAACCAACGAGAGGAAGAAAAGAGAGGGGGAGAGAAAATATCATCTCACCAAGGATGCAAACGATCCTGAGCATTCGACTCAGTGTTGTTCAGCCATGAGCATCTCAATACCTGACTCTCAATAACCATCAGGACCTCAATTGTGAAGTGACTTTAATCAAATTGATAGCCATCAGCGCTGTTCAAGTGGATGATAGTGAAGTGATTCTGTGATTGGATATATAATTAGCAATGTTCATCATCGGATTTCTCTGAGTGATCCGTCTGAAATTCATCATTCAGCCTGTCAATACTGATTTATTTTCTTGTGATTTTCTTGGGAGACACTAGTTACGTACTATTTAGCTACGATGACATTGATTCCACATTGACAGTCCCTTTTCCCTCAAGAGATCCTGTCACACCCGTGTCCCATTCGATTCAATCCAACTGAGAAATCTCTATCGAATTGATTGTCGTGACAATTGAATCGGGAATTATTATGCGCGTATCGAAATGGTGTGCTCCGTGACTAGTGCTGAGGAAATCCGTGACAGCGGTGGAATAGAGACAGACAGATTGCAGGATAGGTCTCAGATCGTTGGCACGGGATTGCTGATTGACAGTATGTCATCACTTAGTGATTCACATCGTCGTAATGGTCATATTGATGCTGGTGACAGGAGTTCATCGGCGGGATCGTCGTTGGGCTCTTGTTCACCGCCACCAGCATCGAGTCATTCACCGCCACCACCTAGGCCACCCTGGTTGCATGATTTTCATGCTGCAGCATCACCCCATGTACTACAATTTTTGAATCTCAGTGCTGGTGCTGGTGGTATGCTTGGTAGTCAGCCACTAGCTGCACTTCACTCGATGGCTGAAAGGAGTCATCAGCAGAATCAGCATCTTCAGGTGCAGCAGGGGCTGCAGAGGCAACAGCAGATGCACACTGTATCAACACCACCGCAGGGACAATCATCACCCACTGGAAGTGGAAAGCATAGTCCAGCTACCTCGATTACCTCCGTCGGGAGTAATCCACATGGTATCGATAATATATTGTCGAGGCCTGCTGCTGCACATCCTCAGGTACCGGTCTCGGCGGCACACGCTCTTGCACCGGCATCGACTCATCCACAACATCTCACAGCACCAAGATATGCCATGCATGCAGGATTCACCGCTTCCACGGGTACGGCTTTGTTGTCGATCTTATGCATGATTTTGATTCCTAGAAGATTCATAGATTAGGGTGTGATCGGTGCGTCGGATGATGAGAGGTTCAAAGCAGCAATCTTCAGGTTCTTTGTTGATTTCACAACCTGTAGTTTTTTTATCAGGCGATCTGCTCAAGATCATTCCCTAAAACGTTTGACTGTTCGATTTTTATGTCCTGATTGTTGAGGCGAGTTATTTAGTTCAGGGTAGATTAATTTGACCTATATGAAGAGTAGTTTGACTGGTTACAAATGAATCTTCACTTTTTCATCGTCAGGATCTTCTCAGGTAGTGCAAAATTGATGAGTGAAAGCGATCATCAGAGCAGAGTCATCTAATTTTTGTTAATTATCTAGTTTGGGAGCTAGTGAATAGATTGTTTAGCATTTGAATTGGGAGTTGAATCGTTATAGTTCGGGGAGATGATGATGTTAGAAGACTTCCTCTAGGTGTAGTATTCCCACTGTCTTGATTGTCCTCGGAAGTTTTACAAACGAGATTTTATTGCAGAATTTCTTGCAGGTCTTGGGCAGTTCCAGCAGAGGACAGAGGCCCGTCATCCCGCGGTTTATTGGCCCGGACTTCAGGGACTCGTCAGCGACCCTCTGGCGTGGCGGGCCAGGTTACACTCACGTGAGTTGATTTTTTTTTTTTGAAATATCAAATGGGATTCCCCGAAGAAAAGGGGATTCTTGTAAGACAAGGGGTTGGATGTGTACATTGGGGGGATTAAGTTAACCATGAAACCGCGTGTAAATCCTGGGGAAATTCAACGGCAACACGTGACACTGAGACGCAGTACGCCCTCTTCTGGTACTCTCCCACCCTCTTCAGGGTATAGATCAAACGACGGTGTGCCACATGTGGGGGATTGGTAGAGATGAGGGAAACTGGCGACTATTTCAGATTCTCACCCCATGCTGTTACTAATTTTATCGAGGCTATTAGAAATTCCGGGAAATTTCAGTCGCGATTTTCTGAATTTTTCCCTCAATTTTTCATTGGCCTTGAAATTCTGAGACAGATCATTTCGGGGTGAGTAATCATTGATTTTTTTTAAGCTTCAACTTCGGAGGAGCTTCCAAACCTGAATCCTTGGAATTAGTATACTGTACCTGAAAATCGGGAGTTTATTGAATATTCGAGTCGATGGGAAATTCCGGAAAATTTCACTGCAATTTTACAATTTTTCTCAGAACTATTATTCAGCAATTAGACAATGAAAAATAAAAAATATAATGAATAAACATTTTTGAAATTATCAGGTGTTATTAAGTGAAGAAGGAACTGGTCCGTCCGATGGATTCCAGAATATTCGATTTGATAGAATGAAAATAAAAAAAATCAGTCCAATTGAATGAAATTGTTCAAACGATCATCGAAACCCATCAACATCCACCCTCACAGATAAAAAGGGAGAAGACGTAAGTTCTTCATCTCTCCACACGCCACATGTGTGCACGACCGACGAGGGGTGATTGAGCTTATCGTGGTGGTGAATTTTCTCCACACCGGAAAAAGCCCTCGGGTTTTCCTTTTTCCAGAGTACAAGGGGGTGAACGCCAACGGCTGACGCCCTCTGTTCGCCGTCGGATCTCATCGTATTGAATATTATGAGCCTTTTTATCCAATATCCACAACTTTTTCCATCGAACAAGACCATTCACATCAATAACAATTGCGCAATTAGTTTATCGAGGATAAAAAAATTCATCTCAATTTTTACTCGTTGAATGGAAAATGAAAATCAAAAAGGATCCGAATTAATTCGTCGAACGTAAAATTTATTGAGTAACCGATGAAAATTATTTAATTAATAATCGGTAAATGGATTAATGAGAAAATTGAATGACGCAATTTATTAATCACTCGAAAGGCAAATGATTGAAATAAATATTCTACAATTAATCCGACGGAATATAAAAAATTCAAATTTCAATTTTAAACTCCAAATTGAATTAATAAAACTCCAAATTTAAATCTCTGGAATTATTTTCTCAAATTATTAAAACCTTGAGTTGAACAAATCGACAACAAATTCAATCTCAATTGTGACTGAAAAAATAAAATGGAAAATTATTCCCCCAAAATGGAGGATAAACCCGCAAGAGCCCAAAATGAAGATATCAAGCTAGAAAATAATCCAAAAAATCAATCGACAACCATAAATATGGAATGAGAATATTTAAACTCGGAATAGATGAAAAATAATGTTGCGGGAGATTAAAACGGGAATAAACTCGGTAATACCATAGCCAAGACAATCCATCAAATGCTCAACGATATAGAGACTCAGATACCTAATATACCGAGAGAGAGGGAGAGAGGGAGAGAGAGAGAGAGAGATGGGGAGAGAGAGAGAGAGAGAGATGGGGAGAGAGAGAGAAGCAAACATTTCGCACACACGTGATATAGAGTTATATATTTTATCCTCGTAGGTAGTGGCTCTCCTGGTGATGTGCCTCGTGAGGCCAGAACGATCGCCACGGGAGCTGGCTATTTATGCCCTTATACACCCATGGAATCCATCTATAAAACTCTTCCTCCCTCTTTCCAAGCATAAACGCCCATGGATACACGGATATAAAACTATCATCTCTTCTTCATCCCATCCCCTTTGATATCCTCGACAGGATCGTGTTATGACTCTGGACTTGCTGACGCTACTGCTCTATCGCATCTCCTCGCCGATTTTATTTTCCCCCGATATTTTCCGACATTCACCCCCCACCGCACTAGTCCTCCAAAAAAAAATCCGGAAATTTTACATTTTAGAGAAAATTCAGTGGAATTTAATACGCGAATATCTGGATGGCATTGGAAATTTTGATTCTCTCGCCAATTTTGTAACTAAAAAAAAATGTTGTCATTGATTTAGACAGTTAGATTATTTTGATGTTGATTTGAAGTGGAAGTGAGAAAATCGGAGAAGTTTCAGGTTTGAAATTTCAAAAATTTTAAACGACGGAAATAGGATGTGGTGGGGAGATTTGATGGAATAGAATGCAATATTCGGGTAAAAGACATTGAACGCATTTGGTAGCTAAAAAGGACACCCTAGGGTTTGGAGATACCCTGGATATATGCGCCTAGAATGCGGTAAGCAGCTCGTTAGAACCCTCTCCGCCGACTGGCCATTATTGCCTCGTTCCGTATTCCGTTACAAATTGCTTTATTAAATTAAAGTCCCACCAGGGCCACACACACACCGGCCACATTAGACTCAACTGTACTCAGCTCTTAATTACAGATGACCGTATTTTGGATTAATTCGTTTTCTCACCTGAGCTATCGTCATTCTGAATTTTTCCAGAAGATCCACAAATTTTAAAGGATATAGAAATTTAAAAAAATAATAAAACTTCTCCAAAAAAATACTCTCTGGGAAAATTCCATGATTTTTATTGCTTAAATCATAATTTTTCCAAAGACAATCGAAAAAAATGGAATGTGGAAAAAACGACGAATGCATTCCCGATGAAAAATCGGAATTATCTCGATAATGAGTGATTTTCGGAGGAAATGTTATATCACCTTTTTTGTAGCCAGCAAAATTTTGGATAAATAATGTTCAATAAATTTTTATCGCAGACCATTGAGTGACGAGATAATTGGATATTGAGAGAGACATGAGGAAGTGATTTGTTAAGAGTCACGAGTTGAATGATTTCGATTCTCGTGGGGCGGCTGATTGTCGATAGAATCGAATCATAGATCCACTCAGAGAGCACCAAATGCTGGAGTAAATCCTTCGGAGTGAACAGTTCATGAGCGTAAATTGTCCTGCCACAAATTGCGGATATAAATGTAGTAGACTGGGCGAATACATAATGTGCTTTTGGTAGGAATACATTATCGCACGGGCCCCTCGAGTTCAACGTATCGTGGCCATTGAGGGCTTTTACGTTTAATTCTCATGCGGATAACCACTCATCAATTATGAATAATTGCATGGATATTGTAATCGTAATTCATATTTTATGGAATATTTATCGGACTGGGCATTATAATCGATTCAATCTCTTTATCTGCGTGACTTTTTTCATGTTCAGAGCGAAAAACCTTGACAGACTCAATAACACGTGTGGCAATCAGCATTAATTCTTCTCATCGGAGCTATTAATAAATTTCGGCATTTCCGTATTCAAATTTACTCTTTTATATCATCCATTGCATCATCAAAGTGAGAACAATTTTCCTGGAATGATTTCTCTAATTACCAATTTGATTGTCCATTTCCAAATTTATTCTCAACGTCGACTGTTGGGGATATTATTCAATTATCATAATAAAAATTATAACTGGAGTATATTTTTGGATATATATTTATTCCATGTGGTAAATATTTCTCCCTGTGTGGAGAAATGGGTGTCATTTTGTTTGAAGTTGTTTTAACTAGTAAAAAAGGGGTAAGAAAAATGCCGAGTTTATTATGCTTGCCCGCAAATATTCTTGAGCTCCTATAACAACGTTACAAGGATTTTATGAAGGCATGTTCTCCCAGAGCTCCCACTTGGCCACTACAACATAATCCTCCGTTGAATTCCTTCTCGCTTTTATCGTTCACCTCTCCACCAACAACTTTCCTAAGCAAACCAGCCCTCTTCCACCCAACTGCCGGCGTAATTACATTTTTTTTAATTAGCACATCTCCAACACTACTGGATTATTATTTGTCTCGTAACAACCATCGTGGCGTTCTGATTCCCCACGATTTTTATGCATTCTCCTCTTCATAATGCGAAGATTAAAATACCGAGTGTCGGAGCAACTTTTTAACTTCAATCTGCTTAATTAATTGTAATAATTTTTAATCGTTTGGCATTGCAGTATCACAGCAGCTGGGATGTCAGCAGTCGATGGCAGGTGCTGCGGGTGGTGCTGGCAGTGATCATGACAATGGCAAGAAAAAACACACGAGGCCGACATTCAGTGGACAGCAGATATTTGCGTTGGAAAAAACCTTTGAACAGACCAAGTACTTGGCTGGTCCTGAGAGAGCTAAATTGGCGTACGCCCTGGGAATGTCTGAGTCACAAGTTAAGGTCAGTCTAATTATTCTAATTTTTTTTTTCATATTATCTATTATATAATATTTTTGGAGTCAGTGACGATTGCATTAATTAATTAAATAACAAATTTAATTTTAAACAATTAAACTCCAAAATGTCAATGGATTCTGGGTTTAAAAAAATTGTAATCGGAATATTTTTTCCAAATTTCCAAAAAATACATTTTTGGGAAATGTTTTGAAAAATTCAAAAATTTGTTTCGGTAAATGTTTTTTATAAATTCTACTGTTGTTTTCTTCCTTTTTTAATTTTCCAATATTCTAAAAAAAACGCCATCTGAATTATAAAAAAAAAATTCTGAAAAGTTTTCCAGAAATTTTTTGAAAATTTGGAAAAAATATTCCGATTACCATTTTTTTTTACCCGGGATTGTAATAAACAAATTTATTCAATTCAATATTAATATGTCTCTACGAATATTAATTAATTTCATTTGATTCCATTTTCCCCGCAAGTTTTAAAAAATTCTTTTTTATTCAGAAACATAAAAAGACAAAATTCTGCAACTCGACGTTAACCCCTGTTTATTATTCATCCTCGCGTTTATTAAAAAAATGCCATTGTAAGGAATATTGAGGATAAAATTGGTGGGATTGACGAGTCTTCACAGATCCAATGGCGGCAATCTCAGTGGCGTAAACGCTGCTTTATACGGCTGTTCGGTCGAATCGCGGATTTTTCCAGCCCGTGGAAAATCCGAGGTAATTGAATGCCCGACCCGCCCCCATCCAGGGACATCCTTCGGTTTTCTATCTCACTTCGTTAAATTTTTTTTTCTCCACGGAATACCTATATGTATATAAAACCGCGTGTCCGTCGCGCATCCGCTCGCTCATCCCTCGTTTTTTTTTTTTCACCATCACTCAAACCCCATGCAGACTTATAGCTTTCAATAAAAATGTAAATATGGCGGGCATGGAGCGGGCCAATGACAGCGCAACACTGAGGGAAAAGAGTGAGTGGAAAGAGGGAAATATAGGGGGTGGTTTTTTTCAAATGGAGAAGGGGCGCTTGGGAAATGGAAACGGTGTGAGCTATATAATATGGACCCGGACAATACGATACCTCGGGAGCTGGGGGTGGCGTCGACCCAAGGGGGTGAGCAAGTGGACATTTTCTTGTTGATTTTTCTGCAAAGTTTAACAATAAAAAATCCCACACTTCTTCTCACCGAGATAAATTCGAATTGGAGAGAAAAGTTTATCAATTATTTTCCATTTTTTTGTTTATAAATAAATTATTCGGAGAAAAGAGGGATTATTTTTTGTGCAATCGAAAAATTCAGTCATTTATTCATTTTGAATTTCTTTCTCATTAATTTAAATTAAATTTTGGCGCGCCGTTTTCAACGGGTGAACGCTGGGTAATTATGATTAATTATTCAATATCTCTGAGTCTTCAATTACAGGGATAGGAACAGGTTTTACGACAAGATGTCATAAGCTCATCTGTATTCAGAATTTCGTCAACCGCAAGAATTTCCTCTGACATTTTCCTCCAAAATCACTCCTTTCTCCTTTCGATATCCAGAGACGTAATTCACCCAAATTTATTCAAACTGAACCATCCCAAATACTGTTTCGAAAATTTCTCAAAACCCGATATAAAAAGCAATTAAAAAAATCGAAATCCACCAAAAACTGGTAAACAACGATAAACAAATTTTTTTCTCGACCATTTCCCAGCGAAAATCTCTGAACCGCGATAAGATACCGATATTTTCATAAAATCCTTTTTTCTAGTTCTCATCTTTCCCCCGAAAAAACGTCCCCGCAAAAAATTCGCTATCCCCCCCGAATCCCGAGATATCCGCAAAAAACTGGCATCGAAAAAAAAACACCCCTCTCCCTCCCAACTTCGCAACTGAATTCCAAAGATCGGATCGCGATAAAATTCGCGAGAAAAATTTCCCAGTATTCCAACTGCAGTCCATCAGATCGCGGATTCCCCCCAACAACCACGACATCCCGAAAAGGGGAGGTGTCGTCATGCGCAAAAGGCATCCCCCTAAAAGCTATGAGATTCAGAAATCAGAGTCTCACCCTAGGTATTTAATGTCGGTAGCTGAGAGGCTAGTTAGGGAGTGTCAAAGTGCCATGACAGAAGTGAAAATGCCCTCCCCCCCCCCCAAAACAATATTGAAGTGGGGTGGCAGTTGTTTACGGCGGGGTAATCTGCTCGTCGACGTATACCAATATCGATGACGTCAATTAATACCGAAGGTACAATGCGAAACGGGCTATACTCGTCGTATCCCTTCGGTTATAGGTATGTGCACGTGATTCCTCGGTCCATACCCTGGCCTCTCATTTTCCTCACTCCCCCATGTATCATCATGGTGGTATAACGTATACCGGGAAATGGCATGGCACAGTGTGGCATGCCGTCGCATGATAAATCACGCCAGCAGGCGGTGTTTCCCTTCATTCACCGTCCCACCACCACCGCATACTCTCCAACGAACCTTGTCCCAGAACTAGCATTCGCATATCTCCAATATTACCCCTATGACCTCCCTCCTCACCTTCTCCCCCATTCACCCCCATCCTACCCCCTCCTACAGACCACCCACCCCCCGTTGCACCTCATGCACTTGACTCCATAATGTCCGCATTTCCTTTCTCAATTAGCGAGACATCATTTTGTTTTTTTTTTCGTTTTTTTTTTTCACATATTTTCCATAAAATCTCATTAATGTTACCCCGTGTGTAAGTAATTGCTTTGGATGACGGGATGATTTATTTATCGGGGTAAATATTACCGGGATGATGAGATGTTTACAGTGATTGGGGAGGTGAATTTGTTTTGGGGCTCGGTGGTAGGAGCTTTCGTGGAAAGTTTTAATGATAAGAATAATAAGATAATAATTATTGGGGTAATTAAAAATGGAGAAGTATTTTTTTTTAATCCCGTGTAGAAAATTCTGAAGATTGAAAATAATCGCGAATTTTTTCAACTTGTGGTGAGCTTCTACTGAAATTAATTTAGTAATTAATTAACAATGATTCAACAATTAATTGTTCTCTGAATTAAAATGATATGATGCCAGGGAAATTGTACGTAAATTCAGGACATACGACCCCTGAATATTCACATCCACCTAAAAACCGAATAAATTTTCAAAATTTCCACTCGTCTCCCCAAAACCCCTGACTTTCCCTGAAATTCCAATTTTTCCTCTAATCATCATCTCCCCATTCCCTGCGTTGTTACTCCAAATAATTATTTATGAAAATAAAAAATTGTTAATTAAGTAATCGCCTGAGGGTGGAGTTAATTCAAGAGACTCAATAAAGTCAGGGGGTGCGTAAAAAATGATGGAAATCATGACATCGGTGGATAACACGAATTGCTGAAGCCATTTGATCTCAGGAGTATTTCAGGTTTTTTTTCGGGCCTTTTTTATATAAAATACATAATATATCGTGCGGTAGGAATACGTCGGGATATCGCCCTCTCGGATGCTGCACGAGAGTGGAAACATATCGATATGGGGCGCCACGACGAGAGTGGAATACAGAGAATCGTATTATCGCACTACTATACCTTCTGTCATTCACCTGCACACATATTCCATACTGCGTTATAACTTTCCACACGTCTATATGTTCTCCCTAGGGTGGCAAAATATATATGATACCCAAACGATCGATATATACCCGTGAGAATCTGCACGCTAAAAAATATGTACACTTCAATATCCTGTATTTATTTATAAATTAAACACCAAATTCTTCTTTGGTATTAAAGAATTAAATTGCAGATTAAAAAGTACAATGGAAATTATTTTTTAAAAATGAAATTTAGGAAATGGTGCATTAAATTCTCGGACGTTATCATTCCTGAAATTCGTCAATTACAAATTATTATTCACCCGGGGAAAAAAAATTGTAATCGGAATATTTTTTCTAAATTAAAAAAAAAGTTATACTCGCAAAAATTTCTTGGAAATTATAAAAAAAAAATTTCCGAAATAAATTTTTGAAAAGTTTTCAAAACATTTCCCAAAAATACAATTATTTATCCCCGATTTTTTTTTGTTTCAAAAAAAAAATTTGAAATGAAAAGTTTTCCCGAAATTTTTTGAAAATTTGAAAAAAATATTCCGATTACAATTTTTTTTTTTCCCGGGCACCTTGAGAATTGACGATTTAATTATCATTCATCATTATGTAATTATTTAAATTAATCCTTCACTTCCGGATTTTTATATTTTTTCAATTTTCATTATTGAATTTGAATTTCATCCCAACCATAAATTTTTGTTTGAATCTTTCTCGGAGTGTTTAATTAACATTCATAAAAAAATCTAGTCTTTAAATCAAAACCTTTAATTTTAAAAACTTAAACAAATGCGACATTGCCGAAACCAAAGATTCTCCAACAATTTAATAAAACCGCCATGAAAGCGTAATTCATCTCCGTTTCCCCGAAAAAAAAAGGCAATCGAAAGGAATTTATGTGGCATGGAATGGTACGGTGTTTGAATAAAGATCAATGGGAAACGACGTGGAAAAGGCTTTAAAATCCCCCGCTGTGTGCTTTAAACGTCATTTCAACACGAGTCATCGGTCACCCGTATCCTCAACACTCGAATGCATCAACCATCACCTTTTATCCTCGCCTTTTTTATAAATCCCACATAAAAATTCCAAACAAATCGAAATAGCGAAACAATGCCGCCAAATCCCACTCAAAACAAAACTGAAATAAAATATATTTTTCAAATCTCTTTCCCCCGAGATAAACCTATCAATTGGGATCGGATTGTTATCTAATTTAGGAGGGGGTGCGCCGAAATACGCGTTAAAACGCTCGTGGTTTTATACTCCAGCTTTAGAGGACTGTTACGGGCTTAGATAATCTTGATTTAATAAATCTAACAGTTGTGCATCCGTTTTTTTTTTTTTTTCGACGGGGGGAGTCCCTTCGGGCGAGAAACGACAACGCGTGCGTAACTAATACGCAGTTGGGGTTAAAAAACCGCATATTTAAGCCCTAGGGCTGCTGACGCCCAAAAATATCTCTTTGAGAACTATTTTTCTGGATTAGGGGATGGACGAGTGGAATCGATACAAATTTGGTGATGTCATGTGATGGATTATTCGAGGGATGCCCGGAATCAATTGCAGTCGCGCCATTTTTTAAAATTGAATTTATCGGCTAGGAGTTTTGGAATTATTGCGCAAGTTTATTAGCACGTGGGGAAAAATTTCAGGTGCAATTGAAATACTGAAATTTTATCATATCGATTTTTCTCGATCACTCGTTACAATTTATTTCTCAGAATAATAATTTCCCGATCCACTGGATTAATTAATCGATCCATTAATAATTAAATAATAATATTAATTTGATAATTAATAATAATAATTTGGACGAATGATTTTATTAAATGTGGTGGTTTTTTTCAAAGAAAAAAAAATACGAATAGACAAAAAAAATGGGAAAATGCAATTTCATGGGGATTGGGGGTAGTTTTTGAAAAATCTTGAGGGGGTTGATGTGTCGGGATAAATAGATGGAGTTAATGCGGCAAATAGTGGGGTGTGGATATTTTCTGGGACCTCAACTTTCACACCACTTGGAGATTTGTGGCGTGACCAGCTAATAACGTAACTTGATGTATCGGGTTTACGGCGCGTTACTCGAAACACGAAACATCGCACCGCAACTGCGTCCCACATATATAAACACAAATACATAGGCCACCCCTCAGTTGGTGTGTGAGAGGGATGAGGGTGGAGTGAGAAACGCGTACATACAGTCGGCCAATAGCCACACCGCGTCGACTGGGCGAAAATCCGTTGAGATTTATCGCCATTCTGAGAGTACTACTCGGCCAATGCGCTTCATCAACCTCAATTCAACCAGCAAAAACAACCAACAACTATGGAGATGAAAAATTTTTATTCATTTATCCCATTCTCGAAAGGATCAACATTTATTTATAAAAAATTACTCTCGCTGAGTCAATTTGACAACACGAAATCTTCTGCGAAATTTATTTACTTCTGGGAATGTTATTGCAATAGATTTATTTGTTTATTAAAAAATTGATGATTTTGTTGCATTTCGTAAATTTCATCGGCGAGAGGCGAGAGGCGAGAGGCGAGAGTCATGAGTCATTATTTTTTTATTATTTTCATTATTATTCTAATGAAATCATTTTTATTATTTTAATAATAATTCATTGAATTATATGAATTGTTAAGAGGTAAGATGAATTTATCGGTGAATTTATCGGGCTGTAATCACTTCTTCTCACCGATGAAAAATCTAAAAAAATCCAAATAAAAGCAGAAAAATCCGCATAGATTCCCCCAGGATTTTTAACAAGAAAGGCGCAACCTCCGGCTCCTTGGCCGGAGTGTTTTAATTTTCATCCGAGCAGCTATTAACTTTTACGAGTAGCCGTTTACTTTTTAATCCGTTTAGCTCTCGACGAGGTGAAACGCTTATATCTTTAATTCAACCTCTCGGCAAGCGGTTGAATACAGGAGAAAAAGATGGTGGGCGTCGTGAGGGTTGGGGTTTTGCTGAACAAGAGGAAGTGTATGCTGAGGTAGTGGAGCCCCTGTGCCGTCGGCCATCGAGAAACTCCGCGGGCGGGTGGCTGGGGGGGAAAGCAAAGTACCTAGGGGGGTAAAGGGTGGTTTGTGGGTGCAATCGGTACAGTGGCGGCTCCCCTGACGCCCGTTACGTTAATTAAATACATTGTTGCGGGGACACAGGCACTTCCAGTATGTATTCTCATGCTTTATAGGTGCGAAGGGTACCCCTTACCCAGAGAAAAATTCCCGAAAAATTATACGCAGAATATCAGAATTTCGTAATCCCTTAAAAAAATCCAGATATTCCGAAAATTATAACAATTTTTCGCCTCTCAAAATGATTTTATTATAATAATTATTCATACATATAAAAATATTTTTTTTAATTGTTGATTGCAATTTTTTTTATTCCCTTGAAATGGATGAATTAATTAATTATTAATAAAAATTTACATGCATTATATATTATTTAAATAATGTTCATCTTCATTTAATAAATGATCAGGCTATGATGGAGTAATAATAAAAAAAAATGGTGGTTAATTGAGTTTAAATGATTAAAATAAATATTAAAATAGAATTTGTTTGGGATTGTTGCAGGTATGGTTTCAAAACAGAAGAACAAAATGGAGAAAGAAGCACGCAGCGGAGATGGCGACGGCGAAGAGACGGCAGGAGGAAGTCGAGGGTGTTGTTGGAGAGAATGAGGATGGGTGCAGTGACGGTGAGACTGAGACGAGCGGTGAGACAGCGGCTAAGAGGCTGAGACGTGAGCTTGAGCAGCAGTATGGACCGTGAGGGAAGATGAGACACGGGGGTTGAAGGCGTGGCCATGGACTATAGGGGCGGTTACAATGCCAGGGCGCGAGGGCGTTCAAAAGAGGGAGAGGTAACCCCTCATTGCACCCCTAACGAGAGGGAAAACCGAGCCCTTTTTTTTTAAACCTTCATGCTCCCCTTATTCCTCAAACCCCCTCTCACCCTCGCCCCCCTCTTTCATTCCGCTCCTCTTTTTATGCATTTTTTGCCCCTCCCCTCATCTCACCCCCACCTCATCCCACCGCACCCCTCGCACTATCTCTTATCCCGGTGGATTTTACTCGAACTGAACACTTGGAAATGCTCGCTGTGACGGGGAAAATCTGTTCAAAATCGCCATGAATTCAGTGCAATAATAATTTTTTTTTCCTCATGTTTTGGTTCTATTTTTTTTTAAGGACGAGTCGGGGAAGTTTCGATCGTCGGGGGCGGAAGGGGGTAATTTTTTCGTGGAGCAAGATTTCCTCGGTTTTGGGACTTTGGAGAAAGGGAAATTTCGTACTTGAGTCTGGGATTTTTTTTAATATGCAGAATATTTATTAAATATGTTAGAAATTGTTTTTGGGGGTTTTTATGTTGATCAGACCGATTTGATATGTTTTTAGATATGGGTAATATTTCGAGACTTTGATGAATATTTTTGGAGTGAGCGGAGATAGCTGATTTTTTGTGGAATCTTTTTTGTAACGCTTTTTACAGCCTACAAAAGAGGTCATGACAAAAATTTTGTTATCTCTGTTAGATTCTGAGATATTGATGAAAAACTTGTATAGTTCCCAATTTTTTTTACATTTTTTCGCTGCCTTTCTCCAACTTCAAGAAGTCCACCCTCAAAAAATCACCAGAACCTAAAAAAACTAGTTTTTTTTATCATTTGTTAATCATTTAAAATAATTTCTGAATCTCCACGCACCATTTGCCTAGATTACTCTGAAAAATCAGCGTTCATATTCCTCTTAACACGTGAATTGCAAAGCGATCGCCAAAAGAGTTCAGATCGTCCAGTTTTCTAATTTAAATAAAAAAAAAAAACCACTTGTATATTCTGTAGATAAAAATGATAACCGTGATTGTGATATTTGGCGTTTTAAATGCAAACCCTTGATGTAAGTAGAGGTAGGCACAGTCCACTGTTGAAAAAATTTCCCTGAATTTTCCAAGTTTCGGCCTTGAACTAAAAAACGATCAAATTCCGCCGTTATTAACAAAAAAAATACAACGAGTGAATTATGAGTGAAGATTGCAATTTTATAATTACTGCAATTTTTACTCGACTTGTCCTATTTTTTCCTGAAACGTTCGGTTAATTGTTACTAACAAATAAATCTTGTGGGTTGATTCACCGGAAAATAGGGTGATTTGTTTTTCAACAGTGTTTTATTAATGATGATCTCGCGCAAGGACTCAGATAATCTCACTGATTTTTGGAGGAACCCAAGTATTATTACGACTCGTACACGCTGAGAAAATGTTTTTCATGCTGAGTGAAGATAGATTATATCCGTGTAGCTCGACTGACACCAAAGGTCGAAGTTAATCGAGAAAATGGGCTACACTCATTATTTATATATTCAACTGTACAGTAACAACTCGTTCGACACCATTGGGCTATGAATTAGCGACAATCTGTATAAAAGAATAACGAGAAATTTAATATTAATGAAATAAAGACACTGTATAAAATATACATAAATGTTACTCATCGCTTGTGTATTATATCTCTGATTTAATAAATGGCATGATATCCAATCATATGTCTCCATTTTCATTATTTTCAAAATTATCCCTTTAGCATTTTCGTTAACATCAACATCAACATTTATCAATAAATAAATCGTTCAAGTAATAATGCGATGGAAAATTCAATTTTCATACTCAAATTAAATCGAAATTATCTCGAATTTCAATTTAAAAAATCGGGATTGACAGTTAATTATTTTTTTTAATTAATTAATTAGTCAATGTGGAGTTTAATGGAATAACAAATATTGGGGGAAAAATTCTCATGATAAAAAATCTATTACAGATGACTAGACAATTTTCTCTGGAAAAATGATATTTTCTCAACTGGCGAGTAGCTGTCATCACGATGTCATTTACGGATGTCCGCACTGGGTAAAAAATCATGGTTCCCCCTGAAAACGACCGGGTGATTGTCGTCAGTACTTCCACACACACCCTCCGGGTAATATGAATAAGACAAAAATTCTATTTTGAGATTGGATATCATCGATGAGACTTGATGGAGCTCTCCGAAGGCCAGGGGATCCCATTCAATTCATCGGATTCGAATCCCCAACTCTCCCCTCTCATCACTTTAGGTGTTTAACCGCCATTCTGGCTGTCCCTTTTCTGACATCAGTGAAGTCCTTCCTGATTAAATGCCACCGACGTGCCAATTGCAAGGGTGTGAATCTCACAATTTTTTTTGCCTTTCTTCCCATCGATTCATGTCCACCGAACACGTCCATTTATTTCCCTCGTCATGTCCTCATTATAAAAAAAGAAAAATTATTTAAAAAATACTCAAAATGAGAATAAAAATCCACAAAACCCGAAAACATTCTCACCAAAAGCCTTCAATCCTGCCCAATGAATTCCTTCAAATTGTTCTCACATAATTTAATTATTTATATTCATACATTAATTATAAAATTAATACATAAAAATTCATTATATTAATTTCTACATTTATATCGAACCAAACCAAATAATTCCATACTTCCAATAATATTTATTTGAGTGAAGGAGAGGATAGACTAAGCAGTACATGTACCAAATTTTTTTTTTCCAAGTAAAACGCGAATGGCAATTAAGCCCCCGAAATTCCAAAGTGATAGAGACGAAGATAAAACCGAAATAAATGGTCATCGACAAGTGATAAATACAAGTGTACGACTAGAATCAATTTACTAAACGGTAGATTAATTTAATAACGACTACTAAAGGGGGATGAACATGTTGGAAAGGGGGGTATAGGGGGTGAAATAGTGGAGTAACAATGGTTAGGGGGTAAAAGTCGATGAAAATGGAGAAGCAAGGGGGGGAGGCTTCATGGAGCGTAACGAGAAAGGGGGTGAGTGGGTGGAGGGGTAGAATAGTTAGGAAGTAGGTGCCCCTCTCTATTCAACCCCTACTAACTCACCCCATGGCTATTCATTTGGCTAACAGGCTGTTATGATTAAGTTTGCCAGACAGAGACCGAGGCAATCCGAGTGCCATCTCACTGCCATATAACCCCCACGGGCTTTTCTTCCTCGATGCCTCAGCATTTCCCATTCCATCGACGAGTTTTGTCCTGGCACTTCTCTTCTCCATCGAGAGAGCAATCCGATGTGGGAGTCACTGCTCCACGAATTAAACTAGTGCGCGTAACTTATCCCATTCCGTTTACCATTCACCAAAGGATCCTCCAAAACGTTTCGGCTAATAATCTGATTTCACTTCGTGGAGGATGAGAATATTCCATGTACATTTCTAAGATTAATTCCAATTCGGTAAAGATAAATATCTTTTTTTTAGTTGCCACTATTTTTTTTTGGATTTCCTCGAACTTGTGTGGGGAGCTCTCGATTTTTTATTTTAAGATTGATTATTCAATCATTTTTATTTTCTTCATCATAATTTATGATGTTATCATTATTATTATTGTTGCAATTTTGTATGAGTTTTATATTAATTCTATTGAAGTGAAAATTATTAAAAAGATGGTCAGGAATTTATTATCAGTTAAAACACGACATATCACGTGCCGAATATTTTAAATAAAAAAATTGATTGGTACATGTGAAAAAGGTGAAAATGGATTTCGAAAATTGGATTTGGTGGACACGAAAAATATACGAAAAAATTAATTATTATTAAAAAATATGAGTTCTGACAAGTGATGGTGTCTGTATGTAACACTCGACATTCTGCACAAGAGATCCCCCCATGGCAAAAAGCCCGACGAAAAAAAAATGTCACACTTGCCCAATCGAAGGGTGAATATACGAGGAATCTTTCAATTCCATCCAAAAGAAACATGATTTTTGTTTCCATTAGCGAGTGTTTTATGGGTCGTTGTCAGAAACGTACAAGGAGAGTGGTGTCCTGGTCTATGCGAGCCATTAGAGTTTCCAAATCCATACCCATAAATAACCCGACACGTTTCTGGTTTTCCAGACCCATTTCTACGTGTATAGAGTTGAATAGGGAGTTGGAATTTTCGGATATTGTGGAGTTACTCAGCTTTCCACTACCCTTCGAGAACAAGTGACTTGCCAAAAAGCTGGATGTCTCATATCCTCACTATTTTTTCATCAATGACACATTTTCCGACGATGAAGATTTGTCGGCAACCGCATTGACAAGGATTTACACCTGTTTTTCACTCCGATCATAATTTTCCATGGATCACAGATATAAACAAATAATTTTACCGTTAAAATCAGTTTTGCATCGGGATAAACTATCGCCAAATTTTGTGAATCGTAGTTCAGCTCGGGGTCACTAATAATTATTAATATGATGATTAATTAATTATTAATATGGAGTGATCACAGTTTTTGGGGAAATTTAGTAATTCAGATTATTATGTAATTTTATATTGTGATATTTTGGGAGTTAATGATTTATTAGTTATTATTACCCCGGTAAAAAAAATTGTAATCGGAGAATTTTTTCAAATTTTTCAAAAAACGATTTTATTTTTCGGAAAGGTTTTGAAAAATTTTTCAAAAATTTGAATAGAAAAATTTTTTTATAATTTAGATGGCGTTTTTTTGGGAATATTGAAAAATTAAAGAAGTGAGAAAACAAAAAAAAAATTATATTCACAAAAATTTCTAGAAAATTATAAAAAACATTTTGCAAAACAAATATTCGACAAATTTTTCAAAACGTTTCCCAAAAATACAACTGTTTTGTTCCCCGATTTTTTGTTTCAAAATAAAAATGTTGTGAAAAGTTTTCCATAAATTTTTAAAAATTTGGAAAAAATATACCGATTACATTTTTTTTACCCGGGTAGATAGTTAATTAATTTTTCATAGTCAATGGTGGAGTGATGCCGATGCATTTCGGAAGGATCAGAGGATTTGTCCTGAGATATTGAAAAATTAATGCCCGATTTTATCGTTTTGTTTTTTGTCGATACGGGAGCGCCTGGGGTCGAGAAATAAAAGTAGTTTTGGGCTGTAGGAAGGGGTTGAAGGCACTAGGAACGATCATATCGGATAGATATCGTGAAGCGACATTTTTATGCCTCGGACAGGGCGCCGTCGACGAGATTTACTGCCAGTTGCTGTGGTATACCCCGTCATACCAACGAGGGGAATGCCGTTTGCCTACATCATCTGGGAAAAATCGGAAAACAGTTTTTGACATTATTATGCCTTTTATGGGATTTTATTGAAATATACCCGGTAAATGATGGAACGAAGGAATTTTTACCCGCAACTATTGAAAGAAGATTGAGTAAATTTGGATGATTGATCGGTTGTCATCCCCTGGATTATCAACGGATTTTATGAGTGAACAAATTATTTTCAATAATCCCCACCATCAGATCTACTGGGGGCAAATATTTTCACGGATTAAGAATATCTTCGAGATTTTTTATTTATTCCAAAGATTTCAATTTTATTGAATCCAAAAATATTTCCCTTTCCCATTAATCACCATTTCTAAAGTAAATATAAAAATATATCCAAAAATAATAACAATAATATTCACTGCAATAATAACAAAAACGAATTAATCTGAAATAAATCGAATAAAATAGACTAATAAATAATATAATAATTAATAAATCCCAATAGCAATTCGCGAGGGTAATTAATTCTGCAATAATTATGGATGATTGATTATAATGATGAATTATCCGTTATTTAG